AATAAGATTCCATTTTACTTGTCACCTTTAAGGATAGATACCTAACTCTTTTATATTCACTCTTACTTAGGACTTTAGAAGCTATAATTCAATTTCTAAACATGTATCAGCATAGCAAATCATAATACACAAAGCTGTTCTTCTATTAGATAAACATTTCTGTGGTTCCTCTGTGCTTACATGGTAGGCAATTCAAAAATGACACAGCAGGTAAATTGGTAGAGCTGATGAACAAATTCTGGTCCATTTGATGTCCAAGCATAAACTCCCAGTCCCTAAGCCAAACCACCTGGTTTGGGGTTATGATCATGATGCTGAAAGGTTAGAGAAACCTGGGTTTCAACAGCCCCTGCTCTTTCCTAGGATTGGAGCTTTAGCTAACTTATTCTGCTTTACTAAGACTTAGATTCCTCATCTGTAAAATGGTAATAATCATTGTACCTATCTCAGAACATTATTGTTTCGAATAAGTTAATTCATAGTTAGTATTGTGACCTATCTGAATATTGTTTTCCAGAAAGTAGTTTCTCCTGTTTTCTTCTAATTAGCATTATTTATCAAATATAAGTAAATGTTACTGAGTTTCTGTCATTTACTACCTTAAATTCCTAATAGATATGGATGGTGAGGCATTTACACGTGAAAAATTAACCTACACAACAAAAAAGGATTTAAAAATAGACTGAAGTGCAACATGGTATTATAGACTTTCAGGTCCTAGTGGCTGGAATGCTGCAGGAGCATCAAGGAGGATGAGAGACTTAAGCCTGGCTTGGGAAGTTTCGATAAGGAGAGAAGAGTATGGGGACATTCTGCTAGAAGGGCCAAAGAAGGGCCAAAGTCAGAAGAGACCCCGAGATTCTCCATGTTCAGGAAGCCATCACTGATAAAGGCCTTGATGACTTCTAAACTCCTCAGTAAAGACTTAATTGATTTCCTATTTCAAAGTCTCCAAGGGAAAGCTAAGAGGAGAAAAACCATTACACCTAACCAGGCAACCTCAAATTGTATGCAGTGCAACCTACGCATTGTATGCAAAAGTGGCAGGTCCGTTTTCACCAGTTCACACCTGACTCATTCTCAGAAGATGAGTGTTTGAGAAGAATTCACTGCACATTCCCTCCATCTCAGTTCTGTCCTTGATAATATGTCACACTTCCTTTAAGGAATGAGCCACAAGGGCATCCAGCCTCTGGAATTACACTGAGGAATACCGAGAAAGCCTGTCCTGGAATAGGGCAATATCATGAAACTCAATGGTGTGGACTGGCCCCATTAAAGATAGTGGTACCTGGCATTTCATCAGGCTCTTTATAAAGTATTTTCCAAAAAGAGTTCCATTTTTTAACACCTCTATCTACACAATCCTACAATTAGAGACAGAGGTCTTTGGGTTTCTAACTTCACAGACCTTCTCTTGTACAATAACCACTTATATACTACAAATCCATAAATGGGAATTTGGCCATGAGTTGAGAACCTTGAGAAGTTTGGCAGGAGTGGGGGAAAAAGAGAGAAAAAGGGTAATTGAACATGACAATCCTGGAAGGATGGCTGATGTGGGTAGTCTGCCTTCCTTTACAACCTGCGTTTATATAAATAGCCTATGTGGTCTCTGTACAAGGAGGTTCCAGAGAAGACAGTAGAGCAACTGTGAGATCCAGTGAATATGGTATCTCCTGAATGTTTAGTTTGGCAGAAGATAAGCTGTACAGTTGTGTTCATGATTCAAGTCTACTGCTGCATATATATTTAAATTTGGCTATTGCCTTTTCTCAGTTAAAAAGAGTGACATGTCAGCTTTAGGAAGGCCGCACTGGGAGTAGAAATTTTTAGAGAGTTCAACAATAAGCCCAATTTATGCTCAGCCATTTCAGGTTTTGAGTATACATGACCATTGACCAAAGTTTCCTATGGGAAATAGGGAGGAAAAAAGAAGAAGATGAAGCGATTGCACTGTTGGTGAACTTCATATTATGTCCCAAATTGGAGAAACTTCTTAGAGTACACAGCGATTATGCTTGCATTTATTTATTTATTTAAAAGATTTTATTTATATATTTGAGAGAGAGAGTGAGTGGGGTGAGAGGCAGAGGAGAGGGAGAAGCAGACTCCCTGTTGAGCAGGGAGCATGACACAGTGCTCACTCTTAGGACCCTGAGATCATGACCTGAGCTGAAGGCAGATGCTCAACCGACTGAGCCACCCAGGTGCCCTTATGCTTGCCACTTATTAAGCAATTACTACATGCCAGGCACTGTGTGTGCTACCACTATCCTGTGAGGTAGATATTTTTAATATCCATTTTAGAGAAGAGGGAATTGAGGCATAAAGTTTAATACAAGTATCCAAGTTCACACAGTTAATAAACACAGAACCAGAGGCAAACTCCTTAGATTCAAATGGGAGTGAAGATATATTTTGAAAGTGGAACCACAAGGATTGGCAAATGAACCCATTTTGGGATATAAAGGAATGAGAAAAGTGAAAAATGACTAGAAAGCTCTTCAGCTTGAGCAGTTGAACACTGGAGTTACTCTCTCCTGTGATGGGGGGAGATTGGGAAGAAGGTGCCCCTGAGAAGAAAATGAACAATTCATATTATACATTATGTTTCAGGTGCTTGTCAGATATTAAATGGAGATGTCATATGGGAATTTGGCTTTAGGATTTCTGTATCTGAGGGAAAGTTCAAGGCTGAGCTTATAAATTTGGGTGTCATCAATTAAAACAATTACTTCTATCCAGAGGACTTTCTTCAGTCCTAGGAAGAGTAAACGGTCATAGAGAAGGGTCAGAGGACTGAGTATATGATACTCCACCTTCTTAAGCTCATGAAGTATTATGGGTTAAATTGCACCCAGATGCCAAATTCATGGTGCTGAAGTCTTAACTCCCAAAGTGATTGTATTTGGAGATGGGGCCTTTAAGGAGGTGATGAAAGATAAATGAGCTCATAAGGGTGGGACCCTAATCCAGTGGGATTAGGGTCCCAATAAGAGGGAGAGACAGCAGTTTGTTCACACAGAGACAAGGTCATGTAAGCACACAGTGAGTACATGGCCATCTGCAATCCAGGATAGAGCTCAGGAGAAACTGAACTGGTGACACCTCGATCTTGCATGTCCCATCTCTGTCACTGTGAGAAATGGATTCTGTTGTGTGAGCCACCCAGTCTGTGGTATCTTGTTTGCACACTGATACATGAAGAGAGCTCTCAGTCCCACAGGAATGACACAGAAGAGGCCTCCAATCAGGTGGAGAGAAAACTGGCCATCACCGGTCTCCAAACAGTGTCTGGAGGGGCTGTGTCAAATGCTGTTATCGAGAGGGTCTTAAAGTTGCTCTCAGCTTGGCTAAAGTTCAGACAGGCTTTTTCCCAACTCTAGGCCTTTGACCTCCCTTTTCTTACAGCCTCTACTTTAGAAAACTTGCGATTGTAAATTCTTTCTCCATCTCTTTGAGATGTACATCTTTTGAAAAACTTCTAGCCACTATCACAACCCAGGAATGTCTTCCTCAAGGACCTGGGAGCCATCCCTTTGAAGCATCATCATTAAGGAAGATGGTGCTCCTGTCTCCCAGTTGCTTTGGGAGGATGGGAGCATGACTTCCATTGGGTGCCAGTTAGCAAGTATGGATGGTCTAATCACAGAGAGAAAGGATCTGTGAGCTCGGGAATAACTCAGCACCGTAAGCCTATCTTTCTCCACTATGTTTCCACTAGCTCACCCCAATGATTAAAATTTCTCCCACCTTTCGTTTCAGGAGAGTTGAGTTGGCCTCTCCCTTCTATTGCAACATTGTTTTTTCTTCCCCCAGTGTTCTTGAATAAAGTTTTCCTTGCTTGTTCAACCTTTCCAGGTACAATTTTTGCTTAGACAGGACCAATAAGTTGAGGATTGAGACCCGATCACTGTACTCTCAGTGTGGGTATCATTGGTAGTCTATAGCTTTAGGAAAATAATTTAATGAATAAAATATTTTCAAAATACCAGTAGATGATTGATATGAAGAAATTCGTTCACTGGTTTCAATGATGATATCTCTTTAGTTGGTGAATAATGGTTTGTGCTGCAAATACTTCTTTTTGATACTCTTATAGATTTAAGCTATTTGAAAATGCTAAAAAATAGCATAAGCTATTTAAATATTTAAGTATGCAGCTGGTTATTCAAACACAAATGGCTACATTTTTAAAAAGATTTTATTTATTTATTTGTAAGAGAGAGAGAGCACAAGCAGGGGGAGTGGCAGGCAGAGGGACAGGGAGAAGCAGACTCCCCACCGAGTAAGGAGCCTGATGTAGGACTTGGTCCCAGGACCCTGAGATCCTGACCTGAGCTGAAGGCAGACACTTAACCGACTGAGCCACCCAGGCATTCTTATTCTTTAAGGTTAAAGGTGGAAACCTACTTAAGGTGAAATAAATGTTATAGACTATGAACTTTGATACACTGTCTCAGGAGGGAGTTATCTTTATGACCTCTGAAGCCTCTGAGGAAAATTGCATTTCTTTTTCTTGTTAATGTTTTTTTTCATCACGTGGTTCTTTAATGCAAATATGCCTGGTTATGGTTTTGGTGAACAATTTAGGCTAGACCGACACGTGAGTGTCAAAGAAGTGGAGGTTTTCAAATCTCAATGCTCAGCTTCTGGATTTGCAAACAATTCATCAAGCAGTATCTAAAATTACTTTCTCTGTTTGGAAAATGACTGTTAACTTGTACTGTACTCAGAAGGGACAATTGCTAATTATATGGAAATATTTTAGCTTAATGAAGTAAAAAAATGTAGCTGGCTTCCTTATCTTAATCCTTTTTTTCCTCCTTGCTGGTTTGATGTCCTAACCTACTTGAGAATTTTCTCTCGTTTCTAGAGTGAAATAGTCCAAGGGATATTCGTTAGAAAATTCACCAGAATGCATATAAATTAAACATTTGCAAATTACTTTTCCTTTTCAGATCCTAAATTCATCCTTTCTTTTCTTGTGTTAAAAGAGGTACACAATTATTGAAGAAAAGTCTGGAATGCACAAAAGCAAAAGCAAAACAAAACAAAACAAAAAACACAATCAAAATGCCCCAGGCCACAGACAAACTGTTGAGAAGGTGCTACAGCATTCAAGCCAAGATGACAACAGAATTCCATATTGTGGATCTCTTCCTGCTCCAAATGGATAATGACGGTGGCAGAAATTTAAAAGAGAACATTCGAGAAGACATACGTATACAATAAGATCAATACAAACAACTTTGTGTAACAGAAATAAAAATTTCTTACTTGGAAAACATTGTGCATAGCTGATGCTGTGAAGAGAACACTGAACAGTGAGAGTTTGGCCTTCTTGGGAAAATAAGAGTAAGAGCTCCATTTGATCAAGTCTCAATGCTTAGAACCAGTCACTGGAGCAGGCCTGTCTCAGTCCGAAGGTGACACAGTCTGCGACCAGAGAGTAAAAGGAAATAACAAAATAGTGTATGTTTAAGTAAAGCTGCTCCCTGGCTTAGTGACTTGATGCCCATATGCTCAATAACACCACGGTACAAGTGTCCTCAGCCATCCAAAATAGATTGGTTCTATTGGTTCTTTTGGTTCTATTTGGTTCTGAATTGGGGCCAGGGGGAGTAGAGAGAAAAAGAAAGGAAGAGAGAGGGGTTGGAGAGAGAGAGAGAGAGAGAGAGAGAGGGAGAGATCTTTTGTCACCCAACAAAAATATATCAGTAACATATAAGGTAAAATAAAGCAGAGACATACAAATAGTAAGTGAATATAAAAATGACCAATAAGAAATATTAGAATGAGAAATATATTCATTTATTTATTTTTTTAAAAGATTTTATTTATTTGAGAGAGAGTGAGTGAAAGTGTGAGAGCACACGAGCAGGGGGAGAGGGAGGAGCAGACTGCCCTGCTGAGCAGGGAGCCCGACGCGGGGCTCGATCGTAGGACCCTGGGATCACGACCTGAGCTGAAGGCAGACGCTTAACCAACTGAGCCACCCAGGCGCCCTGGAAATGTATTCATTTAAATAACATTTAAAGGATTGATAAACTTCAAGCTGGATAAAACCAATGATAGAATAAATGAATGAAATCATATTTAAGAGTTAGCTAAGAATTCATTAAGAGAACAAAATCACACACACCAGTATACACACACACACACAAATGCACACGCATATTTAGAAAGCTCATATTAGGCAGCAGAGAAAACAGAAATTGAAAAGGTTCAATATTTATATAATTGGAATTCCTAAAGAAGAGATGACATAGAATCCATATTCACTCAAACTGAAGAATTATTTAAAATTAAAAAAGAAATAAGCAGTCATTTAGGAAATGCATTTCAAATTTCATGTAGTTAAAAAAAATTCCCTACCTGAATAAATTGTATTAAAACTTCAAACATACAATAAATAAATAAATAAATAAACAAATAAAATAAAACTTCAAACATCCAAGTGAATACCTACCATACAAAAAAAAGATATTTCCTAATTACCCTGGTAAAACTTTCATCAACCACAAAAAGAGACGTTAGAAGACAGTAACATACCATCTCCGAAGTACTCAAAGGATATTAGACATTTATGCCAGTTAGCATTCAGTGGAAGGGACACCAGAGGCACTGCAGAAGCCGGAAGATTAAGACTGTTTGTCATTCACAAAACCTTGGAATTATTACTCTTTCTAAAATAGAGTCCTTGCCCATTTATCACTGCAATATATTAGGATATGTTTGTCATATTAGTATATTGTAGCACATACTATTTTTTTTTCACCTGCTTTTCCCACTAGAATACAAGACCCAGGAGGACAAGGACTTCACATATTTAATTTGTTGCTGGATTTCTGTCCTTTTACAATAAGCACTCGAAAATATTTGAATTGTTAAGATGGAACTACTTATGAGATAGTTCTGCTTAGATCAATTCTGTTAAAGAAATGAGATTTCAACTGCGTAAGTGCTTCCTTTATTACTTGTATTTCTGTAATTTTATTTTAATTCATTATCCTCCACTTGCTTAATTAATATAATAAGATTTTATATCTCTTTCTGCTGCCAATGCCTTACATGCTAGTCTATTATTGACTTTGTGCTGGGACGCATGATAACCTAGACTTAACAACTCATGTGATTGTTAAATTTCTGCATGATAAAGTATTTTAAACTACAGTTTAGCATTAGAGGTTGAAAAATCAGAATTATCACTGAACTCTAACAATAAGACAAGTGTAGCTGAAAGTACTTTCTAACTAGAGAATTGACTGCTGTTGTGGCACGTGATGAGGGTGGCCAGAGAGAAGGTGTGGGCACTTCTGCCCTTTTTTGAGCAAACAGAAGATCTAGCAAGGACAAGTGACTTTAGGTCTATATAGGTTCTAGTTTCCTGAAGACACTGTCACTGGCCCCACTGGAAGCCTGAATGATTCCGCCATCAAAATATTGTTTCATCCGTCTTAGAGTAAATCTTCCAATCCTGGGAATTGTTGGAGTGTCTGAGATAAGTAGTGTAGTCTTTGGTGATTTTTAAAAAATAGGTTATAATGTTGCTTTTGTGTCTTCTTCCTAAACTAAAATGGTTTATTTTGTCTGATACGTATTTTCATTATAGCAAATTACCTAGTAACCTGATAACCAGGTAGTAGAAGAAGAGGCTTAAAGCTTTCATTTAACTCTAATTGCTGAAGACAATTGGTATTTATCAAAAATTTCTGACCGTGCCTCACAGCTAATCCACAGTCAGATGGAAAATTTGTAGAATAGCAGGCTGTATCAGTAAGTATTTTCCAGAGATACAGAACCAGTAAGATTATATATATATATATATATATACATATATATATATATAAAATAAAGTCATTATGGAAGTCCTTATTCTGTCTGCTAAATTATTCCTGTTCTTCTCCCCACATAACATACCATGAGTGAACTTTCTGTCTCCCTGTGGGGTTTGGTGAAGCCATGTAAATAGTTCTGACCAATGATGTGTCCTTCCAGGACATGTATTTAATTGCCAATGCAGGATAATTCAGAAAAAAAGTGATCTTTGATATATAGTTGCAAATTATTTGGTGAAAATGTTGCCTGAGTAAACTTGGAATACATATAATGAACAGGAAACATTAGTGGAAGAGTCTGGAGAGCAGATTGTTATTAGATAAGTTTGTCATTCCATTTGAAAAGGCACTAAAAGAAAGAGAACCTAATTGGCTGGTTTGCCAGCAGAAATAAAGAAAATAGAGAGTGTAGATATTCAGCCACTTGTAGATTTGGAACAAGTAACTGCTTTTCAACCCCAAACAATAAAAGACAAATAAAAAAATTCTTTAAGCAACAAAATCAGATGAAACCACCGTCTAAATGCAAGAATCAAATTAAGGATGCAGTTTTCAAATCCTTTGTTCAACCTTTGAATGGCTTAGATGCACCTCATTAAGCCTTTTTGTTGGACAAAATGACTTAGGGGAAAGAGACCAAAGTGTGCCTCTGTCCTGGAAAACTCTCAGGCTCCAGGTAGCAGCAATTATATCCAGAGAAAGGAGGAGTAAAAATCTTGGGGAAAAAAAAAAAAAAAAACAACTGTGGGTGTGGTTATTGGGACATGCTGCTAACGAGAATAAAATAGGTCAGACTCCAAGTATTTGAGATAGATATGCTGGCAAAGAAAAGACCTGGTTTGTATTTTACTGTTTTGGACATTGAACAACCTTGAACTCTTGCATCTATATGGGAGAAAAACAATCTGAGCAGTGTTCAATCCCAAAAGAGAGCACAGTGGTCATGAGGATGAGCTACTCAGATCACCAGTTGCAGGAAGCATGATAACCAGTGGCTCCAACGGCACCTCCAAAACCACCACCATGTGTGTGCTGAAGCTACACTACCCATGGGCTGCTCCCCACTAGTAATTGAATATGGGCAGGCTCATTTCTGAGAGATGCAGGAGCCCTCTGATGGGCACTTTGGCTCGAGGACTCACTGATGTCCTTGTCAAAAGTTCCTCAGAATTGCCCTCCATGTTAGGATGCGTCAGCCCTCCTTCCTTCTGTCTCTCCTCACTTTCTTCTTTTCTTCCCTTTCCTTGGGGTCAGACCTGCATCTGATATGAAGCTTCCCCAGGCTCCCTTCGCACCGTCTCCATTTTCTTCCACAGGCATTTCTCCAAATAATGTTTTGCATGTTTAGTAGTCTCTTGGCATCTTCTTGTCACAGGACTCAGATGGTCACAGGGGGCATGTTCTCCCACCCCCTGTTTCGAGTGGCCTAGGAGGATAATGATGGATCTTCCAGAGGCTGGAAGCAAAGGAACAAATATAAAACAATGATCTGGGGACCTCCTCCCAGGGAGCAAAACCAGGGCATGATCATGGACATTTCCCTTCCCTTAGAAATTTCGGCCCAGCTCCAGGAACTCGACTGCTTAGCATCTCATGTTCTTTCCACTTTCTAAATAAGAGAGTTTATTGCAGATACCCTGTTCCTGACCCACAATTGTTTATAGGGTGGGTTGTTGACAAAGAGCTTGTCTTTTGAGTACAGAGTTCCCAAGGTCAAGAGGAGCTGAATCCAATCTGTAAAAAAAAAACTATATCGGTCAGGAATCCAGCCAGGAGACAAAAATGCATCAGTTATTTAACAGAGAATTAAGTAGGAAACACTGTAGGTGAAAAGGTAGAAAGAAAACGCTAAAGCTGTCACAAAGAAAGCATCTAATGGAAGCAGCTACCATTTCCAGGAGTTGGAAACTGAAGGGAAAAGTTAGGATTATTGTGGAGCTGGATTCTGAACTGGGATTCAGCCCTCTGACTAATACATTTGGAGGAAGAGCTCTCTGGAGATGGAGTGCAAACCTCAGTGGTGTGGCACTTAACCTCTGTTCACTGGCTCTGTTTTCTCTGAGGGGACAAAGTGAGTGTTTTCTTTGGGGAGTGTTGAAAAATTACAAACTATTATCAGCAGCTGTTACTGGAGTACCCGCCACTGATGTACTGCAGCACTATTACTGGAGTGATTTCACAGAATCAAAATGGGAGTATCATGTATTTTTTTTCTTCTTCTAGTCTCCAGTCTTCTTCTAGAACCCCCAACTGCAAAGCCTGATTGGGAGTCAGCTGGTAAAAGAGAAAAGATGGTTTGCAGAATCTCAGTGTTGTAATCTCAGTATAGAAAGGTAGAATTTGAGCTGAATGATAGTAGCTTAATGATCAGCATACCTCCTGATATAAATATTACTGTGTATCACTCAGACATCTAAGCCTTTATGCTTCATGGCATGGCT